CAGAAATGTAATTGTTTCAACATACCTGTGGTTATTATCTGTTATAATAGGTCTGGTCTGTGCCTTGTGTTTCCTTAAAAGATTTGCCTGTTGCATCATGTATCTGTTCTGGTTGGCCATAATTGTTTTCTAAAGAAAAAAATAATTAACAAGAAATTGCTAATAGGTTTTGTTTGAACATTTTTAATACTTGATTTTGTCTCTAGTGTTGTATTTTTAAAATTTCAATTATATGGTTAGAGAAAAGACTATTGATATGTGTGACAATATAGCTCATGGTCTTTAGTGTCTGAATTTGCTATGATTTATCAGTGTAGACTCCTCATGTCCTGCAGAGGTCTAACAAAAGAATGGATGTTAAATAGAAATTCTGGGAAAATACAGCTTTTCTTAAGAAATAGAAGATAGAAACCAAACCATAATTTTCATTCTTGTATCAGGGCACAACTTCTGGGGAAACTATTTTAGGTTATGCTTGGTTATTTGGCTGTAACAGATAATTCAGAAGACACTCAAATGTGGGATTTTTTTTGGTGAAAAGCAGTTCAAACCCAGGAATGATTCCTGGCAAGGATATATTAAAAGTGATAGGACAGTTAAGTGGTCTTTAAAAAAGGTATTTGGAACACTGAAGTGTGGTAGTAGTATGTTAGCATCTAAATCAGCCTGTGTACATACATCAACTGAATAGTCAGTGTGAATTGTCTTGTTTGAAGTTGTTCAGTGGTTTCTTCAAGCTCTCTAGAAAGCTGAATTCAGTAAAACCATAAACCTTTGATAACTGGGATGTGCCAGTACAACCTCAGCATCTGCTCTTTGACCTGGTGATGGTGCTGGGAGGTGGCTGATATGCATTCCAAGTCTGTTTCCAAGGATAAGTGTACATTTTTAAAGTCAGGAAGGAGAAGCTGGAAGAGTGTTCATTTAGCTACCAGTAGAGTGTTGAGTGGAATTCAGAGTATAAATGTGTGAGCTCAAAGGAGGACAATGTATGCTAGTGCCCGAAAGAGTAATTTCTCATTTTAACAGTATATTGTGAAGAATATGTGAGCTGCTAGCTGTGTGATGTCGTGGGAGTGACCTGTGTTTAATGAAATGTATATTAAAGAGGAACGAAACTTTGAAGATTTTATTTGAAGGTGGATAAAATATAACTGGGGTGATGTCATGGTAAAAGCACTATTGAGAGAAATGACTTAGCTTTTGAGGTTTTCTGGAGCTAAATTTTGGTTTGGGTGGCAGAGAGAGATCATCAGGGTCAGCTCTCACCTGAATATTCAAGTGTAAACCCAAGTGTTTCCTTAACTGAGGTGATCTTTACAGTTAAGGTCAGTGAAGGTGGTATGCTTTGGTAATGCCTTCACTGTTAATCACTTATTTAGAAACTGGTTTTTAGTGTGGCAGAGGAGAAAACCAGGGAGGGAAGCAAGTTTGTCTGCGTGGTGTTTGTGGTACTGAGTTAAATTCTTTATTATCACAGTTACCATGGCAACTTTTTCTTAAGAATATGATGTCTTTGTGTATAAAGCTAAGGCCTCACCTTAGCTCACTCACTCAGATCATGCAATGCTCCTGCAATGTTGTGGTTGAGAGCTTGTGATCACCCTTGTTTGTCTTGTTTTATCGAATTGCCATTTACTTGCCAGCTACTGTTAATAAAACTTAAGTGAGATTAATTATAGGTTAATTCAGTGTACCTTGGCTAAGATAATTAAAGTTGCTTTTATAGAAAAACTGTGTTACAGATAACTGCACTGTGCTTTGTAGAAAATTGCAAGCCTTGTATTGGCTAAGAGAGTATGTTGCTAATTCCTCTGGTATGTCTTAGTTTCTAAATGTTTTCTCATCTCTAAAAGCAAAATTCAAGCCTTTGGGTCAAGCATCGAGATTTGAAGCAGGTGAGGATTTGGATTGCATAGCTTTGTATCACATTGATTGTACATCTTACAAATGTATATCATTGTTTTCAGAGAACAAATCTCTTCTTCCCGATGTCTGAAAGGCTGTGTGATGTCAGCAGAGAAACTTAGTCCTCTCTTACTGGGACAGTGTAGCATTAGTGGACATCACGTGTTTTCACAGAATCAGTTCCTGTAGGATCAAGGGGTGATGGAATAGCTTAGTGCCACTATGCAATGACATTTACATTTTGTTTGAATGGTTTTAAAAGTCCTCAAATGCAGGAGAGAAGGAAATTGGTTTAAAATGGAAGGAAGAGGCTGTATGTATTTAAAGGTGGTGATTGTTGTTGTACAAGAGTTAAAACCAACATAAAACAAGCTCTTACCATTTAATTTTGTTTCAGTAATCAAGATATATTCTAAATTTGTAACCTAATTACTTACAGGAAGGAATTAGCACAGTGTCTTAGTGTAAAGTGAGGTAAAAGCTGATCAGCTCAACATTGTCCTCCTGGGCTGACTGACTAAAATGACTTGTGAGCCCCACAGCATTGGTTTTGTTTTTGACAAGTGGAATAGTCTGTTTCACATATTTATATTTTTAAGATTATAAACAACACTAAAAATCCATTTGAGCCTAAGTTATTGTTAGATTTGTAGACTCTTTCAATGGAATTATCAATTGAATAATTTCCTGTTCAGAGAATATTAACTTAGTGTGTGTTGTGATCTTCTCTCAAGATTTTAACTATTTTTAATGATTTTCAATGATTATTTTTAACAATTTTAACTATTGTCATCAACCACCTTCTGGTGAAGTGTGTTTCTTCAAGCTGATATAATGAAGGCTATCTAGAACTCTGAAGAAGCAAGTTACTTGACTTCAGTGGAAAGAGGAGAGTGGCAATTTGAGGATTCTGCAGGCAGGTAGACACTTCTCTGCTTTTCAGCCTACTTAGATTTCTTCTTTCATTAGCTCATCAAGCAAGTTGTAAGTAGTAAGGACTGAAAGTATATCCCAATAAGAACTGGGAATTGAAAAAGCAAATGTCACTCATACTTCCTCTGAAAAGAAAAAATACCGAGGATGACTTTAAGATAACAGGCAAAAGGTATTCAGCTAAAGTCTGGTTAATTTTGCATATTTTTTAGGTCATTCATTTTGTTAGGCTTTTGTTAATTTTGAAGTAAGGAGAAGTCAAAACGAAGTGCAATGCAGAGCTATTTTTTTCTCAACTGAAAAAAGAGAACCCAGCATCTAACAATATATTTTGAAGCAGCCATGAAGAGCTGATTTTGGCTTATTAGCTTATGAAGTAATTTTTAGGTTAAATGTTATTTTTTTGTGTCTATTTTATTTAATCTAGTACATTTATTGCTATTAGGGATTAGTTTTAGGATCAATTTTGAAGAGTCATGATATATTGTTTTTCTGTAGATCTTTCCTGATTTAATGTGGACTTGTATTTCTGACCATGCTTTTTTGGCCCTTTGTTCGTCTTGCATTCTTTCCTCCTGCAGACCTTCAAACATGAGTCTCTCCATTTATTCTGTCTGAATAGGGAAGATGGGAAAAGCTATGTGTTGGATCACATCACTTCTCTCTTTTGTGAGGAAGGACAAGTGACATTTACTTTGTCAATTCCTACCTTTCCTTGGGATGCACTGACTGAAATTTGTCCTATAAAGATGTGGTAGGTTATTTCAGCTAGATGCTATGCTGCACTGGGCTACAAGGTTGTAAAGAGCAGCTTTTTTTTAAGTTTGGTTTCAAAAAGGAGGGGACTGAAGAGCTGGAATAACTCAATAATATTAACAAAACAGTACTCCAACAATATAATAATGGCATAACTGTGGACTCCTTTCTACTAAAATGTCATTTATGATTCTGTGTTGATCACTCAGTTTTGATCAGTAGTAGGGCTCTCTGTTATAAATTCATCTCTATGATGCTGCGCTTGGAATTTGTATGATGTACAAATTTGTTTGAGGAAGCAGTTTTAGAAGTGAAATACCTCAGTTAAAGTTGAGATGGGATGATCTGCAGAAATTAAGTTAGGTCTGCTTATGATATACTTTATGAAGCCTTCTGTAGTAGGAAAGTATTAATATTTGCATATATGTTTTTTAAAAATTAACTTGAGTTGCATACTTGAATTTATATATATTTTATCTCCTAAGTCAGTTTTTGACCTCTGTCGATGAGAACTTCATACAGTTTCTCCTTATGTCAATATTTCTGAAGCCTTTTCTATACAAATATTTAATGAATGCAGCTGCATACCTAAATGGTTGGGTAGTAAATGTAGGCTGGTTCGTGTTCCCTCTTAAGTGCATACTCTTGTCAAGTCTTAGAAAGATATTTAATGCTGTTCATTTGATACTATGTGTGTTAGTGCTCCCTGGAACTTACATAGTTGGGACTTCCTGTGATAAATGCCATACAAATCTTCCATTCTTGATTTCTTAAAGCTAATTTGAAATTGAATATTCAGCCTTTAAAGTACTTAACATGATTAATCAGTGCCTGTTAAACTTAATTGCAAATTATTTAACAGTTCACACTATGCTTCTGACACTTTCTGGTTTGATTATGGTTTTTATTCTTGGATGGATTTGTGATGATTGGCACAGCCAATTCCTTCTGCTTTAGAAGAAATTTAGATTGCAGCTACAGCGCTGGGAAATCTTAGATTTTATGATGTCAGTTTTTTACCTTTTCCCGCTCAGCTCCTCTGCTCTTGTTCATTTGCAGAATTTGCCTGTTCCTCAGTCCTTATGGCTCATGGTGAGCTATCTGAACCAGCCCGGGATGCCAGTCTTAGCAATGAAGTGCCTGAGGTGGCAGCACCTGTTCCCTCCTGACAATTCTACTTTTGGGTTCAGTGACTTCTGATGGGAGCAATCTACAGCTGAGGATAGTAACTTAATCTGCTACAACAAGATTTGCTAGAGCTTTTCTATCAGCATCTTTAATTTAAGCTTCTTGTAGTTCAGCCTCATATGAAGACTTTTTTTTCTCTTTATTCGGAAAAGGAAAAAAAAACACAGGGAGAAATAGTAATTGACCTTATTTATGATCTCTTCACAGCAAATTCCATGTTGAACTTGACTTCTACTTTGAGAAATCCCTAAGTAGCCTATTATTGCTGACCATTACATCATCTCAGGTATCACAGATTCATATATAGTTATTTTTAGTATATTCATACGTATACATAGGTATATTTTTGAACATTTTTGTTTAGCAGGTGAAACATGCAGAAATGCACTGCATCAGTTTAGTATACAGAACCACAGGTTGTACAGATCCAAAAGCCAGATAGAGACAGTGGTAAAAAGTGTAAGACCTGTTATTCTTTAAGACTGGAGTGTTGTGCATGGGAGCTATGTGAATGGGTGCTCTAAAGCTTAGAGTAGTAAGAAAGTGTTAAAAGCACGTTTATGGGTTTAGCTTGCTAAAACTTTTAAGTTCTCTAATAAATGCCCCTTGTTTGTATTCAGAATTCCAGAACTGGCCTTGAGAGAGTATAGGTGCATGCTTAGAATGATTTGAGTTAGTGGAGCATGAAGGTATTCATAAATCTCACTGACCTCAAATAATAGATTCTGATTTCAACACTAATTTGTAACATGTTTTTTTTTTCTCTAACTCAACATATTTTTAATCTGTAAATGATAAATACATATATGGAAATATCTATTTCTTTTCACAAATTTAGGATTCATCAAGAACAAAAAGGTTATGAATGCTGATTCTGTCGGAAGTTCTCTAGGTAAATCTGACTAAAGAGTTTTTTAATATAAAATGTGAGCTGGCTTCTGGAAGAAAATAAATCTCAGACAAGTCTCTTCCAGCAAATTGGTCAATTGGAAAAAGGCATGTGAAGCTTTTGGTTGAAGTTTCAAAATGCCTGGAAGTGATGGACCACTTGTGGGATACCTAAAACTTGCCAAACCATGGGATACCTAAACCTTTCTATTTTTGCTTTATTATTTCTGCTTTTCAAAAATAAATTTTGTTGTGTCAGGCATCGTAGCCTTGGTAGTGCTTGAACAAAATTCTCTGCCTGCATTGCTGAGATGATTTGAAGTTTCTGGGGACCAAAGAACTTCAACTACACTCAAATATTTAAATTAAGTGGGATATTATTAATAGAATGTCTCTGGTAATTAGTCTGTTTCCACTGATAATCATCAATGGCTGCTGCATTGATTGTTGTGAAATTTTCAAATGGATTTGTAGGCCAACCTAAACTGTGTAAGCGTATGAAGTGACAAAACAGAAATAATTAGTAACAGGTAATGTACATCCCAAAATTAGTTCCTGTTTCCTTAGTAGCAGATGGTAAAATTTAACAATAAAGTGTAGAAATTTCATCAAGACTCTCTGAAAATCAGAACACCTGCTCTGATTTGCCTCACACTGTTAGTTGATTTAGCACTGGGGATTAAAGCCAGTGACCAGAATTGCTAGTTGGTTGTTCCCAGCATAGAATCATAGATTCTGATATATCATAGATTAAAGCTGATTTGGAAGGGACCCACAGGGACTGTGGAATCCAGCTCCTGACCCTGTGCAGGTCTCCCCAAGAGTCACACCATGTGTCAAGAGCATTCTCCAAATGCTTCTTGAACTCTGTCATGTTTACTGCTGTGACCACTTCCCAGGGGAGCCTGTTCCAGTGCTTCACCTTTGGGGTGAAGAACCTTTTCCTAATATTCAACCTAAACCTCCCCTGACACAGCTTCATGTGTTCTTCACTGGTGACCAGAGAAGAGATCAATACCCGCCCTTCTGATTAATTGCCATGTGAACAGTGTTGTAGCCCTTATTCAGGAGGTCAGTATTTTTCTGATGTTATTTGAAAAAGTGGCTATTGCTCTATATGCTCTGATTGATTCCAGACAGAATGGTCTGGTCATCTTAGTGTTCCTGTCTTTTTCAGAAAAAGTATCTGGGTGTTTTTGGTCTGTTGGGTACTCCCACCTCTGAAAAATTCTCAATATTAAATGCTTCCATAGGGCAAGAACCTGTGTTCTTACTGTGCAAAACTATAAAGGGTAATCTTACAACCTTGCTTTTGTTCCCTAGTTTCACACAAAGTGCATGTAACAAGTGCTCAGAAGGGGTGCTGAAGAAGAAAGTAATATGCAGAGCTGTTAGTGAAAAACCTCTGTCTGTGAGGTTTGTTAGGGCATTGTTAGGACAATACAAGAGGAGCTGCTTTCAAGTAAGGGACTGGTGCTGTTCACAGTGTATCTGGTGGGTTAAAGGTTGGGCTAACCTATCGGACTTCTTAGAAAACGAATACTGCCTCACGTTTCTGCTAACCTCTCATGAGGAGCTCTAAACTACAAAGGTTTGCTTTTGTACTAATGACAGATGGAAAATACAAAACTATCTACTGTTACTTCTGGCACTATGAAAAAGTATTTCCCAAACTGATCTTACTTGCCTTATATGTCATTATATATATATATATATATATATATATATATATATAATGTATATGGTATTTCAGATCTCAGTTAAAATTCTTTGCTAAAAGTATTTTCAGTCTACCAGACTTTGCCTGAAAGACCATATTCAGTGCTTCATAATTAGACTCTTTGGTGTCTGTAGAAACAACAGTCTCATGTTCTAGCAAACAAAGGAATTCAAGGTTAATGCCCAGACAAAACCTGTCACCTGGCTAGGGCCCTGCAGAGCCATACTGCCCAATGCATTGGAATGCCAGGGAGGGGGCAATCTTTTTTCTGAGAGCCCTCTTCTCTTTACTTGTGTTTAAAATGCAGGTGCCTGAGCTAATAAGTTGTCAAGAACTTGGAGAGCCTAGTTAGCACAGCAGAGACAGAAATTAAATTTATCATGGTTTATTAATTTTAGGCCACTGCTGTTTGTGCTGGACCCAAGAACTTCACCATTTCATTCATTCATTTGATTTTAGTCCTCTAAACTTATATCTGCAGGCTTTGGTGTTATGCAGAGTTTCTCAGTTTCTTACTGCATAATGGAAATATTGATAAAATATTTCTCTTGCAAATGTAAAATGGTTTGGTTTTTTTAAAGGCATTATACTGAGTGGTCCTTTGAAAATTGTGCTAAAAGACTGTTTTTAATTGACCTGTGGTCATGGCAGTCCTCTTCATTATACTCTCGGCTCTGTGGTGAAAAGAATTTACTGAGTTCCTGACATGCCTCCCCTTGACCTGGGGGATGAAGGGAGCCAGCAACATTGCCCTCATAATACTATTTAGCTGCTATAGCTGTGTGATAGCTTGACTAAAATTATATTCTTGCATCTGCATGTCTTTTCCAGTTCATGCAACTATTTTGTGCACTGCCCTTAAAATCTTAATGATTTTTGTAAGCAAACCACTTTTTTGCTCTTTTGTCAAATAGCCTTTTAATTAAAAATGCATGACTTAACTCCTGTAGGTGGTTCCTTATCTGTGCATCTGTTCGTGTATTTTTTTGTTTAATATGTAAATCATGTCGTGTCTGTCTAATTTACACCACTGGTCTTTAGCCCTTAATGAATCTTTAAGCAGATGAGTAAAACCTATTCTGGGTGAATGGTCTATTTTACAAGAGTTTGAAACAATTTAGCTTTGAAAAAATCAGTAACTCATCAAAATTGCAGTCATTTTGGTAATGGAGAGACCACTGTTTTATATACAGACGATCTCAGAGCTTTTTGCTACTCAGAATGGTAGGTATCTTTCTCTTTGGTTTGTTTTCTGCCACTTTATTCTGGTGAGCTGGCTTTTGGAGAGCTCTAGTCATGCCAAAGCCAGTGTGACAATAAGTGGTAAAGTGCATTGTGATATAAGGTAGAGGATGTCTCCATCTTGCAGAATCATATCTTAAGTTCAAGTGGGAAAACTGTTAGTGGAAAACAGAGGATGTAAATGGATTGCTCTAAAACATGGATATACCCACTTGATGAGGGATGGGTGGGGTGTATTGCTGCACCTTGAAGTTTTTCAGCTGTGCTGCTCCAGTGTATTGTGAGAATTTACTGCTGTGAAGTCTTGAAAAAAGTATGTTTAGGAAACTGTAGTCTTCTTAGTTGATCAAAGCTCTTCAAATTGCTAGGCAAGAGAAGGACCAAATATTTGCAAACTTTAGTGTGACAAATGTACATACATGAGCAACTAGAGTACTTGCAGCCTGTCAGATGCCATGGCTGGGGTCAGGATAAACCTGCCTGTCTCTTAGGGTAACTGCGGTGTGGGCCTAAGAGTGTTCTGTGATTATGGCTCTGGTGCTTCACAGTGATATTTGGTGTTTTGTCTTCTAATTTTGCTGCTTTTCCTTTTGCTTACAAGGTAGATACACCCCACTGGGTGGTTATGATTTCTACATACGTTACTCTTTCAGTTTACTTTTCATCACATTTCATATATCAGAAAATATGCTTGCTTGCTTTCTACTCCCCTGTCATAGGGAAAAATCATAGTTTATCTCTTCTGGTGGACCATAACTTTAACTCTTTACTGTTACCATATGGCTGACCTCTTTGATCTGAAAAACTTTGTGTAAAGACAGTGGCAGCTTCCCAAGCAGTGTACAGAAATGCTGATACTGGCCCTGAGCCCCATATCCAGTTAGTGTTCTTGCTGTCTGTTGTGTTATCTTAGCCTTGCCCTTGGACCCTGGATTCTGCTTTTTATACAGGCAGGGAATTTAAGAGTGCTTCAAATTTGCTGTTGTTTTGATAATTGTTAGAATGGATAATTACTCTGTTTTCTCAAGAATGGGCTTCTCCTTATATTATTTAGCTCTAGGCTCTCCCCTTTTTTTCCTCCCAGTTTTCATCCTCTGCATTTTCATTCCTTTCCTCTATTTTTTCTCAGGATAAAACAACATGGGTCCTCTTTAGCATTTATATTCTGTGCAGCTTCTGGTTGTAGTCTGGAACAGCAATTGATGCCTTGACACTTGGTTTTGCAGTAGGGCAAGGCTGACAATTTTGTGTCTAAAGTGCTGAGAATATTTCAAGCTGTCCTGACTCTTATTGATGGTGAATACCATCATTTATGGCACGTTTTAGTAATCAGTCTTTCTCAGGCTGACTTCATAAATGTAACACTATTTTCCAGCATGTTTCAGTAGCATAGTGCTAAGTGCAGTCTTGTACCTTGACTAGTGTTAGGTTGCTGA